ACAGACGGTAGGATGGAACGCTAATGGTGGGTGGCGGTGCCGGACTCCACCCACAGGAGGCGAGGGGTGGGCAAAAAAAAGTTAATTTAGATTCGAATTTCCAAAACCAAGGTTGAATTGGTCGGGAATCAATCGACTTACTCGAACACACGAACCTAGTGTGGTTTGTTCATGGACGGGGCGCGTACGAATTGCGTTGGGTGTTTGTGTTTGGAAGGCTCCAATTTTGAAAAAAGGTGCAGGCGGGGAATCCATTTTGACACGAAAAGGAGTTGAGCCCTCCGTCAGCCGGCGGGCCGACTGGCAAATTATCAATACATCGTAGTCACACTATGTACACATATTCAACGAGAAATAAGGTTAATTAATCGTGACCCCAATTCATTTCTTAACAGAATTTTTCTGCATTGGCCAAACCAGACGTTTCTGTTGAACGCGTGGGAGCAGTGACAGCACCTCGATTGCCACCGTGATGGAAGAACATTGATGTATTTTGAAGAACTTATGCGGATTGACGGGTTGGTGGTTTACCAACGCGCTGTCATGTTGCAATGCCGAGGCAAGCGCACCAACCAGGGAAGGGTAGTTCGCTCACCAAGGCGCTTGAAACGGAGAACCAGACAAATCGATAGTGTTGAATGGTGTTCATGAATATGGAAACTGATGCGAGTTGGATCACCAGAAAATTAATGGAACCGAAATTCGCTCACCGCAATAATTAAATGGGTATGCGCACTCGTTAATTCTATATTAAGCGGCATGGCATAGAGGTAGCGATCACGCATCACAGGCAGAAGATGTAGGTTTGCTCCCCGTCATCGTCGAAATTTTTGCACAGTTTTTTCTGTCCATTGGAGGCTCCTGAAATCTTCTCTGACATTTGTTTCAGTGAACGCCTTAATTTTGCTTTTATTTGCGATTGTCACCTATTCAGGACAATGATTCTGCACATGGATTGCATGACTCTATACTGTTTTGAAGTTTGAGAAGCATTAAACCGATAGATGCCAGAGATGCGATAGAATATTACACAGAGAGAAAATATACTTGAGGTTTTGTCACGAGGACATCGAATGTTTCGTGCACCACGTTTTTCAAAAAGTTTGAAATGTCTGTAAAAACGAATGATTGTTAAATCTTGACGCGATGGTCTGTTCCATTCTCCGGTCGTAGAGAAGCAGCGTGCATAAGGTATGAACAAAATTTACGCCTCACACATTTTTTTCAGGTCTGTTTATCATTTTTGAGTTGCTCATAAGCATCTTATACATATCCCACATCTTTCTGCAGCATGTTTCTTAAATGTGGAATAAAATAGATTCATACAACTCACGTTTTGAAAACATCTGTTTTGAGTAGGTGCGACAAGCGAAATAGAGGCAGGACTAAGGCGTTTAGTTGAACAATCGTCAGAAAAGGTGTCGAAAACCTTCAATGGAGCAAAAGAACACTGCGCGACAATAAAGGGGAGCAAACACTCATCCACCGCCTGTGTACGCTACCACTACGCCACGTCGAAGCTTTATATCTAAGTTACGGGTTCGCATATCTAATGAATCCATTGGACGAATGAACTTCGGCACAAAATTTTTGGGAAAGTCATTCTGAAGTTTCAATTTCTGTATTCGTAATCAGCATTTCAAACTATCTATCTCTGTCTCCATGGTGAGATGCATGATAAGCAAACTGCCCCTCCTTATAGGTGGCTTGTGCACTGTGATCACTGGCCTGGCCTTCATGCTCCTTTCCTTTTGTGTTTGCTCTTTAGGATTGGAATAGGACCCCTTTAGGATTGGAATAGGAGCCCATAGTATGAGTAAAGTGCAGATCAAAGAGCTTTTCTCTGCTGGGCTGTAGTGCATAGTGTACTGGTGGGTCTTCGGGCGTCTCTATTCAATGCACGCAGGAAAACTGTCTTGGATCGCACTTTCAGAAGATGGGGAAGGCGGGAGCGTTAGATAGGGCGCACAGGGCTGTAGTCATCTTTGCTGAATCTTTGGAGCTGTATTAGCTGCATTTCGAGTATAGTTTCGAAATTCTAGCTATATTATCCTCACGGAGAAACCGATTGGAAAGGGATCATTCGGGCAAGTTACAAGAGCCTACGACACAGTTGCAAAGGAGGACGTTGCGATAAAAATCATAAAAAATAAGAAAACCTTCTTTGATCAAGCGCAGATTGAAATCAAGCTGTTGGAAATGATGAGAGCACACGATACGGAGAGGAAATACAACGTAGGTAAGGAACTTCAGTGGTTTTCTTCCTTTACATTAACAAGACGTACATATGGCTTCGTTGATTTTGTGTGATCATTTGAAAAGGTCTTTCAGTTCTGCTGAAAAGCCACTTTGTTCATCGAAATCACTTATGTCTAGTATTCGAGCTGCTATCGTATAATCTCTATGATCTGTTGCGAAACACAAATTTCCGTGGTGTTTCGCTCAACCTTACTAGGAAGTTTGCTCAACAGGTACGTTCCCACGTGTTGCAGAATACCATGTGAATGCGCTGTGCAGCGATTACCCCTCAAGCATGCTTGCCCATTTATGTATGAGGAGACTAATTGTAAAGCGTATTTATCTTGGCAAAGAGCATTGTTAACACGCATTCAAAGAGTCTATGTCACCTTTTTTTAGCCGATATCATATGCGTTTTAGTACTTAATATTATATTGGAACAGATCGTACCTGAAACAGTATACAGAGTGCACCGTAAATATGGTAACGACTTTTCAGAGAAGCGCAATTTTCCAGTTTGAAAGGTTATCTAAAATCGTGGCTTTTATTATATTTATGATATACATGAGCTCATATATCTGCTCTGGTGCTTCCAAACTGTTGTAGGGTATTATTGAGCTTTATCAATTAAACATGTTATCACAGACTTTGCAAACCCGCGCATTGTACGTAGCTCTGTTAGAATAATACCCAGAGGTTTCTATTAATTCATTCGTGTCCGGTTTTGCTTCCAATAAATCTACGTATCTTGTGATGTTCCTCGACTATCTACAAAAAAAACATCTACAACAACTGACGATCATCTACGACACAAACCATTACTTTTCGAGTACCTGAGGCCTTGCCCTCACCCACACGCAATCCAGTTTTTGCGCGCATATGACGAGTCCTTAAGGACCATTATCACCTCCACCTTGATGATTTGGGCTGTAGTGTGTGCCACTCGATCGATATCGCATATTTTCGTCGAGGAAAGTATGAAAATTAATCAAAACATCTCTTTAAGGTACATTTTCGAGAAGACCATGCTGACGTGCTGAAAGTCAAAGATTTAGAGTGCGAATCGGAATCTCCGGAGACCCTGTTTGTAAATAGAATAAATGAAATAAGGATCTGGTACTGGTGCTCGCGATTCTATCCCTAGCGCAAAAATCCTCGGGATCGCAATCCATTGGTCTGGTGTGTATTGTCCACACTGAAAAGGGAGCCCTGCGTTCCAAATTACGTACAGTTGTAGCTTACCAGAAATCGCTGAAGAGACCCCATACTGATATTCCTCGAGAAGTCTGTCGATGGGCCGTTGATGAATACTGTTCTGTCTTCGAGCTGTGATCAACACAGGAGACGGTGATATCGAATAATCGTTCGTTCGTTGTGTTTATATATATTAGGTCATCTCATTCAAAAGTTCGCAAGCTTTTATTCGAATAAAATGAACAGCAAACAAAATAAGAAGCTAATTTTCTAGTGTTCTGTCGGGTAAGCTCTATCATTGATGACGACCCTCTCCCAGGGTCCAGGTAGCATCTGGACACCGAGTAGCTTCTTTCCTTCAACATGTACAGTTAAAATGCTGTTGATGTCCATTTCGGCAATCGACCAGTTGTCAAAGCGTTTCCCACTGCGACGTACCTTCATTTGACCGAACCAGTTGAAGTCGCACGGCTGGAGCTCGGGAGAATACGGCGGTTGAATCTAGGTTTCAATATTCTTTTCTTCAAAAAACTGCTGCGCAATTCGAGATGGGTGGGGCTTGGCATAGTCATGAGCGATGATTGCCTTCTTGAAGTTGTGTGCTGCCATCCAATTGTCGGTATTATCGTCGAGAAACTGGCAATACACTTCAGAAGTGACGGTCATTTTTTCAAGACAGAGTCGCCAGAACGCCACGCCCCAGAAATTCATTGCCATGATGAGCATCCACTTGGAACCACGTGACTCTTTATGAACCAATTCGGGCGGTTCCTCATCGCCGTCTATCCAAACCCGACGCTTATGACTTTCGGGCTCAGTGTACAAACCCACCCATATTTCATCTATAGCCAACGTTCGTTTCAAGAGTCGTGGGTGACGTCGGTGGCGGAGAAGATTGTTTCTACAGGCATCAGTTCGGTTTTGGACCTGTGCTTCTGCAAGTAAATGAGGTACCCATACACACATCTTCTTGACCATCTTCAATTCTTTGGACACAACTCGGCCAACGGTAGCAGCAGGAATGCCGGTCTCGCGGGCAAGTTCGGCAATGGTGCAGTCTCTGCGCTCAACCATTCGACGCTTGATTTCAGCTGCTCGTTCTTCGTGTGCGGAGTGAACATTGTGAGCACCACCTCGGCCTTCACTTGTCTACGTTCTTCCTCCTTTGAACATTCGCACCCATTTCTGCACACTACGCTTGAAGAACTCCGTCCCATCCATTTGTTGATTGAGCTGACGATGAATTTGAGCGGCGGATTCTCCTCGTATAGCGCCCCATTTGATAATTTCGCGTTGATCCTGTTCGGTAATACTTCTTTTCAAATTGTCAATATTTTCTGCTGCAGCCATGATGTCGAAATCGGGCAGTGCCGTAGCTGACGGTACTCGCTTCTGATCAAAACACTGTCGATGGTGACAGCCTCCTTCCTAATCCCGCCATCCCTCTGGATGTCTGCGAACTTTTGAATGAGATGACCTAATACTTGGCATGGTGAATAGCCCACATAAATTCACGCTGTGTCAAAATGAATTGCGCTTTCTGCAACCCAGTTAATTAATTACCATATTTATGGCGCACCATGTAGTTATACAACATTATGTTAAAGTTGCAAGGAATGTAAATTGTTGATTAAATTATTAAATTAGTAAATTTAATATTTCAACCATGAAGCGGAATCTATCTGAATATATCAGCTGATTTTGTATAATGATGTAGTCCAAATAATGTCATGCTAGATTCAAATCCAAACACAAATCTTCCAACTCAAATCGATTTGCGAGATCAAGCACCTACCCATATGCCTGTGTCACAATGCAAAGGGTTTGGAGAGTGAGTTTCGCGCGGTGGCATGAAGTTATAATACTCCCAGGCGTCAGTTTGTATGATTCAAACCGGCTCGGGGCGGCGAGTTGACGGTAACAATAAATATGGTAACGAAATAAGATTCATTAAACTTGTCTTTTTTTTACATTAGGTTACATTAAGTTTTTATATGAGATTACATTTTACATTTTTACATCCATGGCTACTGCTTATGCTCTTTTCGGAACATAGCTATACTTTTTCCTCTTAAAATGCTATCACAACGCGCTTACATAGACAGTCAATATTGTTTCACTGTCATTGATGAGAAGTTCAATTAGCTACATATGACCAGAACGGCCAGGTAAGGGATAGCCAATGGGCGGTGGATGTGTATTTGGGTGCTCGGAAAAGTTTGTCAACACAATATAACTACAACAATAATGTTAGGTCATTGATAAAGATAGTGACCCTTCTTAGCCCCAATGTATCTCCATCAATCGAACACGTCACTGATGTCATTCCTCCAAGAAGAAGAGAGGCGCAATGCAATCCATTCATCTACCACCTACTTGGCTTCCTAACAATTGTTGAATTTTTCACCTCTAGAGCAGGCATGTGGGCTTCTGAAAGTAAGTCATCTAGGTTGAGGTCAGGTGGATATGTGGGGAGAGTAGTCAGGTTATACAGCATGCCAGCTCATTCATCTACTTCCTCACGTGGGGTGGTCGAGCACCATTTATCACAACAAAAATCTCCTTGTAAATGGTGTGAAATGGGGGCTCGAAACACCATTTCTCTGTTTTTATGAGAACATTTCTGGGTTCACGGCAGTACATTCTGGTAAGACTCGTAGTAAAGCACCCGGTTGAGCAAAAGAAGAATGAGCTGATGTCCTTCTTGGCGTTAGCGCCTTGCGTTGTAGCGAACTGTGGCCTTATGTCCTCTGGTATGTATTGCGATTTCCTGTGAATTTTCATATGACATCTACTTTATATTCTTACCAGGGAAGGATCCCAAGTCGAAGTGGCCATTTGAAATGAGACCTAAACTGCTGGACGTGTTTTTGGATGCTGATTTCAAATCTGCTCTCCAAATTAACATGAGAAAACTTAAATTACGTGTACCTTGTTGCTCAGCGGTGGTTTGATGTAGCGGTAAGCGTGACACTTCATATGCGAAAGACTACGGTTCGGGTTTTGTGGGAGACGGAATTTTTGCATTATATGGAATTTTTTCCTTTAAGGACTAGAAAATACTCTCATGGTGATTTCATCACGTTTTATGACCTTAATGCTTTTGCTGATATTCATCTACATAAAGTAATACTTCAGTTCTACTCGCATGCCCATGCACTCTATATTCATAGTAGGATAACTTTTGCCACTTCATGAACAAATGTGATACTCTAGCACGAAATGCTTGAAACAAAGAAGCTTCTCACAATGGGAGCAACGGATGAGAAAAAAACTCGTCACAGACAATTGCTTTACTCTTACTAACCCCAAATCAGAAGGAAAAGAAAATTGTGTAGTCCCAAAATCACCCGGGTACTAAAGTAGCCGGCGGCACACCATGAGTGAAAGAGAAATTTCCTAAATTTGACAGCACAGAACTGAAAGTGGACAAGTGATGGTAAGCAAAGAATGGCGTCTCGTGTGTGAACGCCATAGTTGAGATCATGAGCTATTACATATGAGGTGGTGCGTTTGACCATATTTCAAAAGGGAAAAATGAGCTTCTATGGGCTGTATTAGCCTCGCGGTAGCCTCGAGCATGGTGTCATTCCCTTCACCTGCTTTTGTGGAAGTAAGACGCACTGAATAGCCTTCTGGTCTTGGAATGATGTCCACGAGTCCACTATCAACAGGGCTGGTGGTGGTGAATCCGGAGCTGTTACGCACCATCGCACCTAATCTAGCATCAACACCTACTCTAGCATCATCATTGCTCGTCATGTGCATTTTACTTTGCCGGACCTCCACAGTTTGCGCACGAAGGAATCTCCCACTCCGTAATAGATAGCTAGGTAGGAGAAGGTATCAGCAAAACATTAAAAGGTCATAAAACGTGATAAAAGCGCCATGAGAGTATTTTCTAGTCCTTAAGGGAAAAATTCTATATAATGCAAAAACTCGTCAAAACGAAACCCGAATCTTAGCCTCTCGCTCATGAAACGACACGCTTACCGCTGCACCAAGCCGCCGTTGAGGGAGGATGTACATCCATGTAATTTAAGTTTTCTCACGTTAAGCTCCCTGAAACCAA